GGGGGGGGGTTTGGTTTTCTAAGACTGCTCCTAAAACTATGAGCTCTAACACGGTTACTTAATATGAAAACGACTTAAATGTGGGATTGATGTGGGGCAGGCTGGGAGACAGATAACCGATTGAAATTGTACTCAATAAACCTTCTGTGGTTTCCCGAAGGTCAATTTAGTGTTGTTTTTCATGACCCTCTGGATTTTGCAAAGCAAGCTGTCTTCCCTCAACGGCGACGTATCCACCCTCCAGAACACAAGGTAAGGTGGAGGAGAGAGTGACAACCCCACGGGCATAGGTGGTCCAAAGGGCAAAGCCGTGTGCCTCGGTGGTCCTTAGTGTTTCTTCTGAGGGGACCCAGAGTAAAGAGGTGTAGTTAACCTTCTCAGTCAGAAGAGCTGGCACTCTGGCTGAAATGTTCTGTCCATTTCTAGCCCCAGCTTGTTGCTTCCCTCAGCAACAGGAAGAATTGACCTTGGTCACTAAACATTCTTTGGACTTTTGCCAGGGAATCCTAGGACGAAGGTGCAGGGAACATTTATGTTCCCACGAAGCACTTAGAAAAACCTGAGGCTGTTTCCACAGCCCTGCCTCCACTTGCTGCCCCGCTCAGTGCAGGCTCCTTCTCACCCCCATTCCTGTCCTTTCTCTGGAGAAAATCCTAGCCAGTGTCAAATCTTCTGGGAGGCGAGGGCAATCCTTCTTCCAGTGACCTTTGTGCAGATTTAATGCTATTTCTTCCACGTTCCTACCGTTATCCTTTCCAAATGAAAAGAGAAATCTTGCCTTTGTTTTTTTTTTTTTTTTTAAGTTTATTTATTTATTTTGAGAGAGAGAGAGAAAGAATCCCAAGCAGGCTCCACACTCAGTGTGGGGCTCGAAGTCATAAACCACGAGATCACGACCTGAGCCTCAGTCAGCTGCTCAACGGGGTCACCCAGGTGCCCCTTGCCTTTGTTATTTTTAATGCCCAGGTCCCAGCACAGAGCCTCCTCGGTGGTGTTGGTTGAGTGAATTTCAGGATCTCCAGGGAGCACCGTAAAACTTTTGAAACTTACATTGTGAGGTATCCCTATCCTCCTCAATGCAAATCAAGACACTCTCCTGGTCCCAAGTGGCATTTTGGCTGTGGGGAATCGCTGACAGTAAAGATCAGAGCCGATCACAAGTCAGTCCGAGAACTCGTCACCGACAGGGGGTGACAGCAGCCTCCGTGAGGCGGGGAGGAGAATGGCTTGTGTTGCTCCCGGTGCATCACCAGCCTCCTCTCTCCTCCTACCCAGGATGCTGACATTCAAAGCGACGG